TACTTTACCCAAATTTAGTTAGATAAAAATCTTTGGTGAATCAACTCTTTCCTTTCTTCAGCCTAAGTAAAGGAATATTTTTATCTCTGAATTAAATTAAAAACTTCAAATTGAAGTTTCTTTTGAAACCTAATTCTGAATAAAAGTAATAAGTAATATCAATGTTGGTGTCTTCTGTTTCTGAATTACATCTAAATACTCATAAACCTCCTTTGCATTTGTTACTGGGCCAATCAACAATAACAAATTACTTTCGTAAAGTTAAAAAAAATAAGGTAAATGATCAGCTTGATTAATTCAGAATCATCAGGATTCTCTAGTGTGTTTTTCTAATAGTACTTGTTCCCTTTTAAGTTGCAAACAGAGTAAGGGCTCAAATATATAATAAAGCAACTCTTCAAAGGATTCAAGACCAGAAAAAAGGTAAAACTTGTTGGTAAGGGAGATTTCAGGGGTGTAGCCTCTGGAAAAGACACTTAAGAAATGTAGCTTATCTTTTCAGTATTTTTTAAAAATAACACGTATGCATATGTGTTTTTTTTGTTTTTTGTGTGGTTTTTTTTTCTGCGGTACGCGGGCCTCTCACTGCCGTGGCCTCTCCCGTTGCGGAGCACAGGCTCTGGACGCGCAGGTTCAGCGGCCATGGCTCACGGGCCCAGCTGCTCCGCGGCATGTGGGATACTCCTGGACCGGGGCACGAACCCGTGTCCCCTGCATCGACAGGCGGACTCCCAACCACTGCGCCACCAGGGAAGCCCGCGTATGTATTTTAACTGATGGTTTATTTGGATTAAGATTTCCCTCTTAGAGCCTGAATTATCAGTAATATAGGAAGACAGACGAGAAACCAGTATGAAAGGTCAAGAGACAGTGAAAGTACAAGATTTGAATGAGGTAAGAAATAAAAAGATCATTTTCAGTTACATTTTCTAATACAGGTGAGGCAGACTCCATAAGGTTGCTTAAGAATTACTGAAAATAGACAAAATGTATGGTAGATCTACATCCTATGATTGTGATCAGTGGTTACAGAATACCTTCCAGGGTTAGTCATTCAGGAAGGAGCCCATTAAAAATGTATTTAGGATAAACTAGTATGTTGAAATTGTAAGGATGATTTAAAGGTGTTGTCCAACTAAAGAGTAAATGTGAAAATTCAGAACAATTCAATAATAATATAAACTGCCATTTACGTATACTTTGTACAATCGAGGTGCCCATCATTATCCCTATTTTTCAGAGGAGGAAACTGAGACTAACAAAAGTTAGGTAACTGGCTCAGGGTCCCACTGTTGCTAAATAGTAGGACAGATCTGCTAGGACTCTTTTCCGACATATCATTACGCAATTCCCAAGTTAGAGAGTATGGACTTGTCAGGTTCATACTGCTCCCTGACTGGCCAATCCAAATATGCAGTTAGTTCACTTGACAGGTTTGCTCTGCCAGTGGAGAAGATTCTGCAGCTTCATGGCAATATTAAGGAAGTTCTCTCGATTCTCACTCTGTATTCACTAGGCTGCATTTTGACCTTAAATTAAGTTCCTAATAGGTTTTTCTACACAAAAGAAAATACACTTTGGCAAGTCTGAATGAAGTAGATATTAAAAGTAAGGGCTAGGGACTTCCCTGGTGGTCCAGTGGGTAAGACTCCATGCTCCCAGTGCAGGAGGCCTGGGTTTGATCCCTGGTCAGGGAACTAGATCCCACATGTATGCTGTAACTAAGAGTCTGCATGCTGCAACTAAGAAGTCTGCATGTCATAACTAAGAGTCCGCATGCTGCAACTAAGGATCCTGTGTACTGCAACTAAGACCCGGCACAGCCAAAATAAGTAAATATAAATAAATAAATAAATAAATAGTTTTAAATAAAAATAAATAAAAAATAAATAAAAGTAACAGCTAGACAGTTTCATTGGTGAATTCTACCGAACATTCAAAGAAGAATTAATACCAATCTTTCTCAAACTCTTCCAAAAAATAGGAGGGAACACCTTCAAATTCATTTTATGAAGCCAGCATTACCCTGTTACCAAAACCAAACAAGGAACCACAAGAAAAGAAAATTGCAGGCCAATTTCCCTGATGAACATAGATGCAAAAATCCTCAACAAAATATTAGCAAACCGAATTCAACAATACATTAAAAGGATCATACACCATGACCAAGTAGGATTCATTACAAGGCTGCAAGGATGGTTCAACAGCTGTAAATCAATCAGTGTGATACAACACATTAGCAAAATGAGGGATAAAAATTATACTATGCATCAATAGATGCAGAAAAAGCTTTTGAAAATATTCAACATCCATTTATGATAAAAACTCTCAACAAAGTGGGTATAGAGGGAATGTACCTCAACATCATAAATGCCATATATGACAAGACCACAGCTTACATCATACTCAACAGTGAAAAGCTGAAAGATTCTTTTCTAAGATCAGGAATAAGGCAAGGATGCCCAGTCTTGCCACTTTTATTCAATGTAGTATTGGAAGTCCTAGCCAGAGCAATCAGAGAAGAAAAAGAAATAAAAGGCATCCAAATTGGAAAGGAAGAAGTAAAACTGTCACTATTTGCAGATGGCATGATATTATACACAGAAAACCTTAAAGACTACAACAAAAAACTGTTAGAACTAGTAAATAAATCCAATAAAGTTGCATACAAAATCAATACACAAAAATCTATTGCATAATAACAAACAAATAACAAATATCAGAAAGAGAAATAAAGAAAACAATCACATTTACAATTGCATCAAAAAGAATAAAATACTTAGGAATAAATTTAACCAAAGAGGTGTAAGGCCTATACACTGAAAACTATAAAACATTGATGAAGGAAATGAAGAAGACACAAATAAATGGTATGATATTCCATGCTCATGGATTGGAAGAATTAATATTGTGAAAATGTCCATATTATCCAAAGCAATGTGCGGATTCAGTACAATCCCTATCACAATTCCCAATGGCATTTTTCACAGAAATAGAACAAATAGTCCTCAAATTTGTCTGGAACCACAAAAGACCCTGAATAGCCAAAACAATCTTGAGAAAGAACAACAAAGCTGGAGGCATTATGCTCCCTGATTTCAAACTAGCTTAAAAGCTGTACTAATCAAAACACTACTGTATTGGCATAAAAACAGACACATAGATCAGTGGAACAGAACAGAGAGCCCAGAAGTAAATCCACACATATATGGTCAATTAATTTATGAAAGGAGCCAAGAGTATACAATGGGGAGAGGACGGTCTCGTCAATAAGTGGTGCTGGAAAAACTGGACAGCTATATGCAAGAGAATGAAACTGGAGCACTATATTACATCATACACAAAAATTAACTCAAGATGGATTAAAGACTTGAATGTAGGTCCTAAAGTCATAAAACTCCTAGAAGAAAACAGGTGGTAGACTCCTTGACATCAGTCTTGGTGATGATTTTTTGCACCAAAAATAAACAAGTGGGACTATGTCAAACTAAGAAGCTTCTACACAGCAAAGGAAAGTATCAATAAAATGAAAAGACAATCTACCAAATGGGAGAAAATATTTGCCAATCATATATCTGACAAGAGGTTAATATCCAAAATATATGAAGAACTCATACAACTCAATAGCAAAAAAAAATTGATTAAAAAATGGGCCAAGAGTCTGAATAGACATTTTCCCAAAGAAGACATACAGATGGCCAACAGGCACATGAAAAGATGTTCAATATCACCAGTCATCAGGGAAATGCAAATCAAAACCACAATGAGATATCACCTCACACCTGTTAGGACGGCTGTTATCAAAAAGACATGAAATAACAAGTGTTGGTGAAGATGTAGAGAAAAGGAAACCCTTGTGCACTGTTGGTGGAGATGTAAATTGGTGCAGCCACTATGGAGATTGGTGCAGCACGTTATGGAGATTTCTCAAAAAATTAAAAAAGAACTACCATATGATCCAGCAATTCCACTTCTGGGTATTTATCCAAAGAAAACAAAATCACTAATTTGAAAAGATATGCACCCCCATGTTCATTCCAGCATTATTTACAATAATAAATACATGGAAACACCCCAAGTGTCCATCAGGGGATGAATGGAAAAAGAAAATGTGGTATATGTACACAATGAAATATTATTCAGCCATTAAAAAATACTGAAATCTTGCCATTTGCAACAACATGCAGAATTGAGGAACATGCAGAATTTGAGGGAATTATGCTAAATGAAATAAGTCAGACGGAAAGAGATAAATACCATATGATCTCACATGAGGAATCTTAAAAAAAAAAAATACAAAAAATCATGGATGTAGAGAACAGATTGGTTGTTGCCTGAAGCAAGGGGTTGGGAGTGGGTGAAATGGATGAAGGAAATCAAAAAGTACGAATTTCCAGTTATAAAATGAATGTCGTGGGGATATAATGTACAGCATGGTGACTGTAATTAATAAGATTGTATTACATATTTGAAAGTAGGGGAAAAGTCACAACTATGTGTGATGATGGATGTTAACTGAACTATTGTGGTGATCATTTTGCAAAATATACAAATATTGAATCATTATGTAGTAGTACACCTGAGACTAATATAATGTGCTATGTCAATTATACCTCAGTTGTTTTTAAATAAAATAAAAATAAGAGCAAGGGCTTATCAATTAGCCTTGGTTTGAATCCCAGTCCTGACTGTGTGACCTTGCACAAATTACCTAATCTATCTGAGCCTCACTTATGTTCTCTCTAAAAAAGAATACAATAATAGTTCTAATCTCATAGGGGTACTGGGAAATAAAATTAGATAATACATGTAAAACATTTACTACAATGTCTGACATATGGTAAGCACTAAATAAATAAAATAGTCGTTGCTCTCATTATTTTTGAAATTATTATTATTATCATCAATTTGGTAAGATAAAATTCTTACCGAATAAAATAAAAATTCCTTATATTTGGTAGGTGCTTAAAACTTACAAAATACTTTCAAAATCACATTTGACTCCTACTCTGGTGGCTATAATGTACATAGGACAAGTATTATTTCCATTTTACAGTTGAGAAAACAGGCTTAGAGAGGAAAACCTATCTTATGAGCTATGGTACCATGAACTATTTTTTCCCAGGTTTGTCTCTCCCCTAGATGACTTTATAATTGTTTAGGCAGAAAAGTATTATCAGAACTTATAGTATATATGATTATTGTATGTAGAATTAATTATGTAAAATACTTTTTGCAGATATTGAAAATGAGCCAAGAAAAAATTGAACTATTTGAAAGTGAGTTGTCAGAAGAGAGAGAAAGGAAAAAGCAATTGACATCTGATCTTAATACTGTGCAGAAGGCTTTGAAAGTTGAAAGTGAGGTATTTTGCCATTCAAGATGTTATTTTCCTCTTTTTGCATTTGTAATTTAGGGATTTCATGTTATTCATTTTTATTTTAAAATAAATTATAGCTATAGAATATTATTTATACCAGTAACAATGGGGTGACTTGTTTCTCCAGGCTGAGTTCCAACACTACCCAAAAAGAGTCCTTTAAGTAGAAGGGATTTGATTATTATGGTGGTCATAGTGGTCCGGACTTGTCTCTCCTTTTAACTGCTGGTCGTACCATCTTGGAAAAGTCTATCAGGAGACATACCAGCCTATATTTGGAAGAGAGACCTGGAAGTGAGTTCATGGAAGTCTAGATCACTAATTTAGAGGATGGTGACAATCAGTTTGCAGGGTGGGTGAGAGCTAGCACAATACTCTATATCCCATGCTGATGACTTACAGGAATTTTCCATGAAATGAGGTAGGACATTGATACTACTTGCCCTCTTGCTATGGTTTTGGGTGGCCACTCCCTACCTTCTTTCCTTTTTGCCCAGTACCTTCCTCATCAACACTTTCCTCCCTCTCTGATCTCAAGCCTTTAGGAATATACCAAGTAGCTCCTCTCCTAAATAAATTTTATGTCACCTGTTCCTTCATAGGGCACCATGGCCTGACTCTCAGGCCCCCTCATCCACCAATCAAACACTGCATATTCCATGTCATCAATGCAGAAATTTGATTAAAATTACATCTAACTAAAATGTTTTCTCTCATGAATATGGAAAAAAATCAGAGGATTAGAGGAAACACTAGTTGATTAAGTCACCAAATATGCATTATTAAGTAAGACAGCATAATTTGTAGTGAAGAACACAGTGTTTGAAGTCAGTCAGACAGTTTGAATCTCAACTTTTCCACTTCCTGGCTATATGAATTTAGGCAGATCACTTTAGTTCTCTGAGCCTCAGTTTCAATAACCCTACCTTATGGGGTTGTCACAAGATTAAAGGTAAACCACACAGCACCTGTCCTATAAAAAGTAACTTTAAAAAGATACATTTTAAAACAGGTAATATAACTAATGCAGGAGTTGCTGAAGATTTACCTCTATACAAGCCTTGCGTAAAGTAGGGATAACTAGAAACCCAGTCTTTGAACCTATAAATGATAGAAATTAAGAATGCTTATGGCATGTGACCATCCATAACCATGGCCGGTCCAGGGGCTGCTTTCCACTGCCTTTTCCACTGGGTGCCTTGTCCAGAGCCAGGGCCTTAGGCTTGGTCTCCTACAGGGCACTTGGAGCCCAGTTCCTGGTTGTCTATGGGAAGGAGCTCTTTGACAAGACCAACAAACAACACTTCTTACCCAGCCTGACCCTGTTAGGGTTGCCCCTGTGCAGAAAGCCCCTCTGGGCCGGTTGCTGCTACCTTCTAGAACTATCTTATGCTTCACCAGCTTTTACTATCAGGCTCTGTGTGGAGACCCCAGTGCCCAGACTTTGGCCACTGCAGGAGGGAGCCTGCTACTCTTGGGCTGGCTTGCCTTGGCTCTTTGAGTTTCCTTGTGTTTAATTTCTGGGTACTTTTTTTCAGAATTGGAGTAGGGAGGGCATTAAAAGAGAAAGGCAAATTTAGAAAAAGAATGCTTAGTTTAATTAATTGATTTAAGGAATCTTTGCTTTACTAAAGAAAGGAATCTGTCTGCCAGAGGACAGGTTGAAATATTTAAAGCAAAAAATTTGTCAGAATCATTTCAAAGATTCCTTTTTAGCAATAGTATACCTTTTCTATTGAAAGTCTTATTTTATTCTACTAAATATTGTCATTTCTTAATCAGGAATTGCAAAAATCACAGTCAGAACTTATATGCCTTTATAATGAAATTCAAAGTCTTCCAGGGGCAGAAGAAGACAGAGACCATTTTTTAATAGCGTATGACCTGCTACAAAGAGAGAATTCTGAATTAGAAACAAAGGTGAGACTAAATTATTACGTGTTTAAATGTTTGATGTATGACATATCTTTTATGAGGATAAGATAAAAGGAAACTAATTTCAGTAAAAGATAACTTGGAAATTGGAGCTTCTTTTATTATTATAGAATAAATTGCCTTATAAATCAAGCTGTATTTCAGAATAACTATTCAGACTTCAGCCAGTGCTTCCCTCTTAGGATTAATCTATAAATTTTTTACTTTAAATAAGCCAACCAATGGCTTAGTTTTTAAAGCACATATTATAATGTAAAAGGTGAACTCAAAAATAGAACCATCATATAAGCCAGCAATTCTACTTCTGGGTATATATGCAAAAGAATTGAAAGCAGAGACTTGAACAGATATTTGTACACACATATTCATAGCAGCTTTATTCACAATAGCTAAAATGTGGAAGCAACCCAAGCGTCCATCAATGAATGAATGATGAAGCAAAATGTGGTATATACATGCAATGGAATATTATTCAGCCTTTTAAAAAAAAAAGGTATTTCTGCAATATGCTACAGCATGGATGAACCTTGAGTACATTATGCTAAGTGAAATAAGCCAGTCACAAAAAGACAAATACTATTTGATTCCACTTATATGAGATACTTAGAGTAGTCAAAATCATAGAGACAGAAAGTAGAATGCTGGTTGCCAGGAGCTATGTGGAGGGAAAAATTGGGGAGTTATTTAATAGGTATAGAGTTTGTTTTACAAAATGAAAAAAGTTATGGGAGTGGATGGTGGTGATGGATGCACAACAATGTGGATGTATCTAATACCACTGAACCGCACACTTAAAAATGGCTAAGATGGGCTTCCCTGGTGGCGCAGTGGTTGGGAGTCTGCCTGGGGGACGCGGGTTCGTGCCCCAGTCCGGGAAGATCCCACATGCCACGGAGCGGCTGGGCCCGTGACCATGGCCGCTGAGCCTGCATGTCTGGAGCCTGTGCTCCGCAACAGGAGAGGCCACAACAGTGAGAGGCCCACGTACTGCAAAAAAAAAAAAAAAAAAAGGGTTAAGATGGTAAATGTTATGTTTTTTTATATTTTACCACAGTAAAAAATGCAAAAACAGAGGTTTACTAAAATGTCTCCAACTTTAAAGGCTTAGAATCAAAGCATCTTTCCCAATTATACTGAAAATTAGGCTTATACTTAGAATTCAGAAAATGTTTAAATGTCCCAACCCCAATTCATTCCCCAAGTATAAAACGGCACTACCAGATGAGGGTTAGTCCAACACTAAATAGAGAGACTGCCAGTAGCGTAATTTCTAGAGTCCTACCTATTAGGTTATCATCAACTCCTGGCTGAAAAATTCCCTTCCTCGATCACTCTCTTGATGTTGATTAAAATGGTAGGAAGGACTAAAGGCTTGAACACAACAGTTAAAATATATTGAGTTATATTTTAATACCACATATGAAGTGGAGGACTAAATCAAGGCCAAATTTATCCTATATGAAGTTGTTACCCTGAAGTCAGGGAGTAAGTTGCTGAGGGATTGGGACATAGATCAAATAGTCTGTGACCTAAGGAGGGAAAGGTCCAGCAAATAGGGTTCGCTGCCTGGGAGGATAGATATGTAGGGCACATCCTACATCTAAGCTTTGTTTTTGGGACCTTGTCAGCAAGATGAGTTTTCATCACAATGTACAGCTGAAGGATCTTGTCTTTCAATATATCATCAGAAAACTTAACATAGAGAATGAAATGAAGTGAGAAGAATATAGTATAAAACCAGAGATCCAGATCACTGTCCTGGTAATCTGGTTTTCTCTCCCTTTCTTTTTTTTTTTTTTTTTTTTGCGGTATGCGAGCCTCTCACTGCTGTGGCCTCTCCCATTGCGGAGCACAGGCTCTGGACGTGCAGGCTCTGGACGCGCAGGCTCAGCGGCCATGGCCCACGGGCCCAGCCGCTTTGCGGCATGTGGGATCTTCCCAGACCGGGGCACGAACCCATGTCCCCTGCATTGGCAGGCGGACTCTCAACCACTGCGCCACCAGGGAAGCCCCTCTCCCTCTCTTTTAAAAGACTTTTTATTTTGAAATAATTTCAGACTTACAGAAAAGTTGCAAAATAGTATAAAGACTTTCCATATACTTTTACCCCTCCCAATGTTAACACGGTACCACCTTTGCTTTATCAGCCTCTCTCTCTTGCATCACACACACACACACACACACACACACACACACACACACACACTTTTCCTACCCTCAGAGAGTAGAGACATAATACTCCTTTACCCCTAAATGTTTCCATGTATGTTTGCTAAAAACAGTGACATCTTTTTATCACAGTACAAGTCTCAAAATCAGGAAATTAATATTAATATAGTACTATTATCTAATTTATAGCTTGTATTCAAATTTTACTAATTGTCCCACTGTATAGCAAAGGGACATTTTTTTTTCCTAGTCCAAGGTCCAATCCAGGACTGTACATTGCATTTCATTGTCACATCTCGAAAGCTCCTTGAATCTGCAACAGTTCCTCATTCTTTGTTGTTCATGACTTTGCTATTTTTGAAGAGTACAAATCATTTATTTTGTAGAATGTCCCTCAATTTGGATTTTTCTCATGTTTCCTCACAATATAATTTAGGTTACATAATTTTGGCAGGAATACTACATAAGTGATGTTATATCCTTCTCAGTGCATTGTATCAGAAGACAAAAGGATATCCTTTTGTTCTATTTACTTTGGGTATGGTACTCTCTGCCAGATTTCTCCACTGTAAAGTTATTCCTGTTCCCTTTGCAATTAATAAATATTTTGTGGGGAGGTACTTTGAGACTATATGTATTCTGTTTCCATCAAAATTTTACTCATTAAAAGTTTCAATTTTGAAGGTTTGATTCTTTAGTTGTATTCCAGTTTCTCTTTAGAACATAGAGTGCTTTAGACTTAAAGGTAGTCTTGCTAAGAGTGGCTTAAAAAATTGTATTTTATGTATTTACTAAAGCCCCAGTTTTATAGGCTGTGGTTTTATTTGGGCTGGAAAGGGGTGTGTTCATGTAGGCCAGCTTCCTCAGTTTACAGAAATGAACACCAGACTCGGGATATTAAACAACTACCAAGTTGCCTGGTGATTCTCAGCCTAAGCTCTGTCCTCCTTACTCTAGGGCCTCACACGTAAAGTGGAACAGTCAACTGAATACTTTATGGTACTTGAATGTGGCTGATTATGAGACTGAACTATGTAACCAGGATAAAATTTTGGTAGGGAGGAGCCTGTGGAACAGAGTTTGTCCTGTTGCACAGCATCTGTGCCATGAAATGTCCTATGATAAAGAGCAAAGCTGCCCACCTACGATATCCACCAACTTTGTCCTGTGAGAATCCAGAATACCTAGAAAGCACTTAGTGTCAAAGTCACCTTCCTCTTCAGAAACCTTCAGCAGTTCTCAGTTTGCTAGAACATCAAGTCTAAATTCTGTTTGGCTTTCTTTCCTTCTTAAGAAACTAACATTTACTATTTTTAATGTTTAAATTTTTACAATGACTATAAAAATCAGTGATTAAGTAGCATTTTGGAATCTGTTATCCTGCTTACAAAAATAATGCAAGCTCATTAAGGAAGTTCTTGTCTTTCAGGTCCCTTCATAATCTGATCCCTCCCCCTCAATCTTATTTCCTTGCTCCTCATCTTGTAGCCTCTACTCCAGTAAGACCATCCTCCTCTCTTCTGCACAAATACTCCATACTCAGTTCCACACTATACCTTTGACCATACTGATCATGCTTAAAATATGCTATAGTCTCTTCTTCACCTATCTGTATCTTCCCATCTCCTAAGGTCCAGTGTAAAACCAATCTTCTCCCTGGAGAGGTTATAGTCCCTATAAGATTATATGGATTTATGGGATTATAACCCATATCACACACTGTAATTTTTCTTCAGAAAGTTGAAAAGGCCTAGGAGACCAAAAGGATTCCTTTAAGTAACCTAAATTGATCTTTAGAATTAAATCCATTGTGTTCTTATAATCAAACATAGTAACTATAAAAACTTTGCATTTTCAGAGAGGCTCAGAATGGGAGTCAGGCAGGTTTTTGTCTATCTTCGTGCGATACTTGGAGAGGGATTCCTCTTCCATTCTTGGAACTGTCCCCCATCCACCCTTTCTACTGCCTTCTGGAGGCATTCTTTCATTTTATATGAAGATATAAAGAGCAATCTTTGAGGAAAGGAATCTGTTTGTCAAAGAACAAAACAAAACAAAAACCTGAACAAATGTTTTGCCAAACCACACAGCAGAGCAGTGATTCTCAAAGCATCCACTTGCATCAGAATTACCTGGGAGACTTATTTGAAATGCAGATTCCCATTTCCCAGCCCAGACCACTGATCTGAATCTCAGGAGTGGGGTGGCGATGTGAGACCGCATTCTTTTAACTCCTCAGATGACGCTCTTATTCACTAAAGTTTGAGAATCACTACGATAGTCTGGGAGCCCTTATATGTTCAAGTGTTTCCAAACCAATAGGAGCAGACTGGAAGAAATACGTTCTCTGTAATGCATAACTAATATTCTTTTTAATGTTTTCTTGCAGTAGTTTATTATTGCTTTTATGAATCAATGAAGTACACTCAAAACTTGAGAACAAAAATATGTGATAATAATGTAAAAGCTCTAATAGAGTATTACATCTTTTTGCTTGTTAAAAGATAGAACGAAACCCTAAACAGCACTCTGGGAAGCCAATCCCAGAGACCAAAAATATCCCCTTTTTTTAAAACCATAGACTTACGCACTCTTGTGCCTATGGTAAAAATGTATTAGATTATGTAACAACTGCAAATTGTGAAATTGGAATAAGACTTCAATTTGGATGTCAATTTATATTATTTAAACCAATAATTATTTAAGCATTTAATGGCATCAATACACTTTTTTCACAGGCATGCATAAAAATATGCAAAATAGAATATTTGTCTTTTCACTTAACTTTACAGGTCTTGAAGCTTTCAGAAGAATTTGAGCAATTAAATCATTTTACTGTAGAGAGAAAAACTGCAGCTAATTTAATTACAACTGAAAATATCTGTAAATATCTTGTGTTTAAAGTACCAATTTTGGAAGTAGAGATTCAAAGCCCAAAGGAAGAGAGAGAGGAGCTCTGGTAAATTGAGAAAATCCCATATCACTTTAATTATTTGAGGGGTACATTTTATTTGGCTTGATTATTATAAAAATTTGACATTTATTTCCAAATGATGTGCATAGAAAACTTTGTTCTAAGAATTCCCCAGAAAGTTTGTTTTTTGGTATGTTATTACATTTTTAAACTATTTTTCCTGCTTTTAAAAATAAATACATGCTTTTTTAGAAAATCTGGAAAGCATGGAAAAGTATAAGGAGATTATAACCCATAATTCCCCCCAGGGAGAGATGTTAATGTCCTTATTTTTCTTTCTGTCTTTTTTCTGTATACATACATATATATGTATTTTTTAAATAATTAAGACTATACTTTGCAGAGAGGTTTGTTTTTTGCTATTTTTATTTAACATTATGTCTGATAATTGTTTTGAGAATTTTCTTCCTTCCTTCCTTTCTTTTTCTTTCTTTCTTCCTTTTTTGCTGCTGTTGTTGTTAATCTTGCCCTCTAACTCTTGTATTTCTACTTTTCCACCAAAAGTATCTTACACAGAAACTTTTGAGACTTAGACAAATGCATTACTGTGTTTTGGCACAAATACTAATAGATGCAATCAAATTTTGTCTGGGCAAAAACCTAGAAACAGATCATCCAATGGAAACAATAGATGTCAGTTTTTACTTATATACCATATTAAAGGATACCTTCTCAGTGAACTGAGAAAATATTGCCTAGGTGTAGCCAAATTTTTATCTTTGTAAATGTTCTAAAATAGAAGAGATTGTTTTGCCAGTTTTGGGCCCCTGAATTTTATGCCCTCTTAAAAACTGGTTTTAAGTTTAGAGTGAGCTCTAAGTCCAAGATTCGCAGTCATGAAACCTAGTTGCAGAAGTGGGAAGAGATACTGGAGAGATAGTGGAGAACAGGTGTAACAGTTGTCACAGGAGCAAAGAGCCAAGAAGCCAGGTCACAACATATAGGTTTGTTGTATGGGGGAGAAAGTCTAGTTTTGAGCACAAGAATAGTGTTATAGGGCTTTTGAGGGAGATGGTCCAGTAACTCTGCATGAGATGAACTGGAGAGGAAAGACAGACCAGTTAATCTGGATATTCGCCACAAATGAAGAGATAGTAGTCTAGACTAAGTAAGTGTCACTGGAGATGAAATGGCCAATCTGAACACTTTTCAGAGAAAAATTTGACATTAATAATCAAAGCTGACAAAAATCCACTCAGCTGATTTGGGATAATTGGCAGAGATACTTGCCCCAGGGAGCAAGGCTGTGAATTCATTTGGAGGTGGAGAACCTTGCCATGAAGAAGACACTGGACTTCAAGTAAAGAAGTCCTTGCTGCCACCTGTTTCCATGACTTGGTCCAAACTGCTTCCCATCACTGGGACTGAGAAATGAAGTCTACATATCTGCCATATGTTTTCCTCTGTCCATTTCCCATAATGTTTCCCTGCTTGCTTATCTTCTGTGCCCTACTTCCCAGCCCCCCTTATCACAGATCCATTACACAATCACATTCAGCAATAAATTGCATATCTACCATGTGCCAGGTACTGTAGGTAGATACTGAAGCTACAAAATAAGACACAGGTCCTATCCTTAGGGTCCATATTGCCTGATGGGGGAAGATAAACAGTTAAACAAGGGAGTATTGGATACTATGGGAGCACAAAGGAGGGGTTCTGGTCTAGGCTAATGAACCAAAGAATATTCTTAAAGGAAGTGACAAATTAAATTGAGTCCTAAAGTATGAGAATTTAAGGGCCAAGGAAAAAGATGGGAGAATAGTTTTCAGGGGAGATAGACATGTGCAAGAAAAAGTTGATTTGTTTGAGGAGCTAAAAGTGACCTCAATGCTGCTATAGCCTAGAGTGTGAAGAGAGGAAATGAGGAAGGAGATGATGAGAATGAGGAGGTAGTCAGGGACCTGACCATGAAGGAACATGAATGTCTGCACTAGGGAGTTTGGACAATAAGAAACTCCTTCAGGGTTTAGTAACATGGGAGAGACACAAACAGATTTGTGCTTTAGGAAAATCACTCTGCCTGCTGCGTGGAAAGTAGATGGTTGGTACCAGAATGAAGGTAGCAAGACCAGTTAGGAGGCTGTTATTGTAATGGTGTTTGTGAGGATGGAGACAAGTGGATGGAATTGAGAGGAGACAGAGAACAGGACTCAGGGTTTAATGAGTATAGGAAGTGAGGAAGTATAGGCAGAGGTTTGAGTATGAGAACAGGTTAAGGAAGACTTAATTTTCTGGTTTGATGGTGTCAAACCAGAGAGAGGAGTTCAGCTTTTGAGACAGTGACTTCGGAGTGTCTTTGGAACAGCCATGTGTGGATGTTCAACAAACAGTTGGATTTATGGGTTTGGAGGCCTGGGCTGGAGATAAATTTGAGAATCATCAATAAGTAGATGGTAAGATGGATAAGATGTTCCCGTATGTTGGTTGATAAAAACACTCAAAGACAGAAACCTAAGGTAAACCTCTCTATGTGGACAAAAGGAGTGCTCCCAACAGGAAACTGGGACAAAACAGCCAGGGAAATAGGAGAAAAGTCAGGAGAGTGTGTGTTACAGATGCCAGGCTAAAGAGTATTTCAAGAAGAAAGAAGTAGTCAAGAGTGTCAGGTACTGCCAATGAATCAAACAAAATAATGGATAAAAAGTGACTGCTGAATTTAGCAACAAGAAGGTGGTTGGAGTCTTTAAGAAGAGTAGTTCCAATGAAGGGCAGAAAACAGATTGTTTCCTAGATCCCATCCCATGGGATGGTGAATGGGAGTGAATTGAGGAGGGCGTGAGAGATGAGGATGTGAAAATGGTGAGTGTAGATAACGCTTTCCAAAAAGTTTGTTTGTGAAGAGGAGAAAAGATTATGGAGCCAAGCTAAGAGGAAATTTGTGTATGTTTAAATACTGGTGGGAAAGAGTCCCCAAATGGGCAGGTCTAGGACTCAGAAAATCAGAAAACAGCTAGCCTTAGTCAGGAGGTAGGCCACTTTGTCCATTGTATCGGGAGGAAGAAAGGGAGGATGGACAGAGATCCAAATGGGTTTTTAACTTGACAGGAAACCAAAGGACTTGTTCAATGGTTTTTGTGTCCTCTGTGAAGCAGGAAGCAAAGTCATCTGCTGAAAGTCGGAGAGGAATAGAAATATCAGAGTTTGCAAGAGAGTGAAAAAGTTTGAAATAATCACTGTGGAGAAAGGAAAAGAAATCTGACTGGGGAGAGCAGGAGTGGAAAGGAAAGCTGACTGTGGAGGGTCCAGTCAAGGCCAGAGACCCTGAATTTATGTTTAGCAACATTTAGTATAGACATGAGAAGACAGTTGAATTTATCCAGGGTTGAGGTTCTGCCACAAAAATGGAGTGGAAGGACAATGGGGCAAGAGAATTGAATATTTTATTTGGACAGTGATTAAAATAATGAACTCTGTAGACTCTGCATTGGATAAAGAAGCAAGTAAAGGGAGCTGGACAAGGAATTTAAGGTATTTATGATTGCACTGAGAACAAATTATGTAAAAAGGAAAAGCTGGAATCCAAATGTCTAATTCTAGTATTTCAGAAGAGAAGCAGTTATTGATGATACAACCCTTAGTGTGGTTATGCAAGTAATTGGCAAAGTGGGAGAGATGACAAGGTAACTGGAGATAAGGAGACTGAGGAAGTGAGATGTCAAGGCATTGGTGGGTGATCTATATGGACCTTGGAATCTTCCAGGATAATGGCAGGACTTGGGGTGAAGAAGATGCCAGAATGCTATGAGCCAGAATCTTCAACTGAAGAGAAGTAGGAAGTGTCACAGCACACCTAGCATGGTCCCGTGCACATAGAAGCTGCTCAATAAGCCAAATTGCTTGATTCTTGTAATACATCTCCTCTACTAGATTTTAAGCTCCTTAAGGTAATGGACTATGTCTTGTTTTTCTGCTGTTTATAGTGCTTTTGTTATAGAGCTATGGAATCTTAGAACAGGGGGGACCTGCAGGAGATCATCTGAACTAGTGGTTTTCAAACTTCTACCTTCTAAACTTTGAGCTCTCTGGGGAGAGGGGCTCAGAAACTACCTTGGGAGATGAGGGGAGCCTGATGAGTGGGACTGTGAGCCTTCTGCTCCCATTTCAGCCGAAGATCCACTCTTAGCTCTTTCATATGTGGAGCTCTATGTAAGATTTTACTTCGAGAAAGGGTCCACAGCTGAGATAAGTTTGAGAACCACTTTATTTAACTAAGTCTTCTCTTTCCACAGAAGAGGTCTCAGACCAAGAGAACAAAAATGACTCTTTCACTCACAGTCATTCACTTAGCAAGTTATTGGCAGGACTGGGTGAGGTCCTGAGTCAGGAGAAGTTACTACTTTATCTGCTTTGGAAAGGGTATAGTCACAAATATCCCAACGGCCAGAAGGTGCTGGAACACTTGGTTTCTAAGTCAGTTGTTGTGAAAAAGAGCCTTATGCAGTTAAAAAATTGCTCAGGACTTTAGTCTCAGTATATGCATAACATGGAGGTGAGATGGGAGGGAGAATGAAACCCCAGTCTGTCTTGTTCTGGACTGTCTCCAGTGTATAGAATAATACCTGACACATAGTAGATATTCAAAAAGTTTTGAATGAATGGAATTCCCACTATTCCCATTATGTACTTGAGGCTGAAGCCAGAGTTGGACTTCCAGTGGCAGCCCCAAACTTACAGAGCTTAGCTGAACTCGGCCTGGGTTTGCTGTATTAGGAAGCTTGGGCCAGAACAGCTGGCAGCTTCCCCTTGATGTTAATGCCTTAATGAGCTTTATTTTTTCTAATATGCTCTCATTTACCATCTCATTGCATCCTTACTATCTTTATCAAGAATTGTTTGATGAATGTTCAAGTTGATTTCCATTTCCAGTTCAATTCGACAGTGAGTTTATATCCATTTCACAAACGTATTTTTGCTCTTCCTCTAAAGAAAGTATTCCTTCCCCAGCCCAATCCATTTAGTGAATAGGTCCTCCATTCACACAG